CGTTGTGCAGGATCTGCTGCTCCAGCTGGATCTCTGCAAATCTATGGGACCTGATGGGATTCATCCCAGAATACTCAAAGAGCTGCTGATGTCCTCGCAAAACCTCTCTCGATGATTTTTGAGCCGTCTTGGGAATCTGGAGAGGCTCCAGCTGGCTGGAAGCTGGCGAATGTTGTCCCAGTTTTCAAGAAGGGCAAGAAGGAGGACGCTGGAAACTACAGGAATGTCAGTCTCACTTCAGCGCCTGGTAAAGTTATGGAGAAGGTTACTCTGGGACATATGAACCCCTGAAAGGGAACGCAGTCATTGGTCACAGCCAGCAGGGCTTCAGGAAAGGAAAATTCTGCTTATCCAACCTGATTTCCTTCTGTGACAAGGTGACCCACCTGGCTAATCAAGGGAAGCCAGCTGATGGGATCTTTTTGGATTTCAGTAAAGCTTTCAATCCTGTCTCTCCCAGAATCCTTCTGGACAAACTGTCCAGCCCAGAGCTGGATAAACACATCACGTGCTGGGTGAGCAGTTGGGTTGAGCACAGAGGGTGACAGTGACTGGGGTGACATCAGACTGTGACCTGTCACTAGTGGGGTTCCACGGGGCTCCATCTGAGCCCATGTGCTCTTCAACATCTTCATAAATGCCTTGGATGCAGGACTGGAAGGGCTACTAAGCAAGTTTGCAGATGACCCAAAACTGGGAGGAGCTGTTGAGTCCCTCAAGGGCAGGGAGGCCCTGCAGAGAGACCTGGACAGATCTGAGGGCTGGGAATCACCAACCATAGGAAGTTCAACAAAGGGAAGTGCCAGACTCTGCCCCTGGGATTGGGCAACCCCAGATGTAGGGATAGACTGGGAATGAGAGGCTGGCAAGCAGTGCTGGGAGAGGGACCTGGAGATCCCAGCCGGTGGCCAGGGTTAGGAGTTGGACTCAATGATCCTTGTGCATCCCTTCCAACTGAGCATATTCTGTGATTGTGTGTGATTCTGTGAAGTCAGGATGGGGTCCTCCAGCAGCACCTGCCCTGCAGCCCGGGGTGCACCCACACCAGAGCAGAGGGAGATGCCCCTCAGGAAGAACCTGGAGAACCCAGGAGAGGGTTCCTGGAGGCCTGTGGAGAGCCCCAGCAGGAGCTTTCTACAGGAAAACACATGAAATAATTGCTCAAACATGTAACTGAAATGCACAATAAAGAAAATGCTCACAAAATGTCAGTGTACTATTTCCAGTGACCAAAGTCCATGAAATGGAATCAGACAATTTAATTTAAACAGCAGAATCTGACAGAGTCCTTACCTTTGCTTTGCAGAAAACAAAGAGTACAGTATATCCATTTAAGACAATTCCTTCTGGAAGAATGTAATCAATGGTCATGTGAACATTTTTTGCTAATTAAATGCAATTAAGTAATTTCATTAAATTATTACTTAACGTGCCCAGAAAAACATTTCCTTCAAAGAAAAAGCAAAGACTGCTTCAAACCATGCCACTGATGAGCCCTCATTTGAACAAGGCTTTTACACTTTTCTTTCTGTAAACCATGACAAATTCACATGATTAAGAATTTTTTTCAAACCTGACTTTCACCAGCAGTTCGCTTGTGCCCTGTGAGGTTACAGAGTCCCACCTTACAAAGCCTTTGAAGGGATTGTTTTGTCTACAATGACTTTGTTTAATTCCAAAGTTATAGCTCAGATCAGTCATTGCTGCAAACCCTTATGTGAGAATTGCTTCTGAACAAACATTATTAATTGTGCCTAATTACTGCAGCAGACAACCTTACCCCCTGCAGGTGACCCCGCCCTTCACCCAAGAGCCAAGGCTCTGCAATTCTAGTTGAATTCCCATGCATTGCCATAGTCACCTAGATCATGGAGTCATGGAATGGTTTGGGTTGGAAAGGACCTTCCAAACCATCTCATTCCACTCACTGCCATGGGCAGAGACACCCTCCACTAGACCAGGTTGCTCCAAGACCCATTCAAAAGAAACAAGGGGCTACTTACTGCAGCCACCAACCTCAGGCTCTTCTCCAAAATATTTGGGAAATATCCAGTATTCTGTTACCTTAAAGGTAGCACCTGTAATCAGGAGATTTTTAATGATTCTTTTAACCATTACTGCCTCAAAGTTCAGGTCTGGGATTTGAGAGGTCCCAGCTGACTGGAAGCTGCCAAACATTGTCCCAGTTTTCAAGAAGGGCAAGAAGGAGGACCCTGGAAACTACAGGCACATCAGTCTCACTTCAGTGCCTGGTAAAACCATGGAAAAAAAATATTCTGGGAAGCACTGAAAAACACCTGGAGGACGCTGCAGTCATTGGTCACAGCCAGCACAGCTTCATGAGGGGAAGGTCCTTCTTGTTGAACCTGGTTGCCTTCTACAACAGGGCAACTCACCTGGTTAGTCAAGGGAAGCCAATTGATGTAATCTTTTTGGATTTTGGCAAAGCTTTCAATTCTGTGTCTCACAGTTTCCCTCTGGACAAACTGTCCAGACCACAGCTGGATAAACACATCATGTGCTGGGCGGGCAACTGGTTCACAGGTCGGGCACAAAGAGCTACAGTGAATGAGGTGACATCTGGCACCAGTCACTAGTGGGGTTCTGCAGGGCTCCATCCTCAGCCCAGTTCTCCCCAACATCTTCATAAATGACTTGGACACAGGACTGGAAGGAATAGTGGGTAAGTTTGCCAATGACACTAAAATGGAAGAAGCTGTTCACCCCATCAAGGGCAGAGGGGCCCCGCAGAGACGTGGACAAATTTGAGAGATGGGCAATCACCACCAACACTATGAAGTTTAACAAGGGCAACTGCAAGATTCTGCACCTGGGACAGGGCAACCCTGTTGTGTGGACAGACTGGGGAATGAGAGGCTGGAGAGCAGCTGCAGAAAGGGGCCTGGGGGTCCTGGTCAAGGGCAAGTTGAACATGAGTTTTGGGCACCACAGTATGAAAAAGCCATTAAGCTATTAGAGAGCATCCAAAGGAAGGCCACAAGGATGGTGAAGGGTCTGGAGGGGAAGCCTTATGAAGAGTGGCTGAGGTCACTTGGCCTGTTCAGCCTGGAGGAGACTGAGGTTAGACCTCATTGGGGTCTTCAACATTCTCCCAAGGGGCAGTGGAGGGGCAGGTACTGATCCCTTCTCTGTGGTGACCAGTGACAGGACTGAAGGAAACGGCTGGAGCTGAGTCAGTGGAGGTTTAGGTTGGATATCAGGGAAAGGTTTTTCACCCAAAGGGTGCTCGGGTTCCTCAAGGAAATGGTCACAGCACCAAGCCTGACAGTTCAAGAAATGTTTGGACAATGCTCTCAGGCACATAGTGGGATTGTTGGGGAGCCCTGTGCAGGGCCAGGACATGATGATCCTGATGGGTCCCTTCCAGCTCAGCATAATCTATGATTCTATGAAATTATTTCAGTATCCAGCACTCAGCTTTCACTCCAGAATAAAACTGTTCAGCCTGGTGACCACAGACCTTCCACTCCTCACAAGTACAGCAACCACAACATCACTTAATTTCTTTGGATGAAAGAAATAAACAGCATTTACATGTCACTGTAACAATTCTATATCCTTTCTTATTGGCTACTGGTGTATTTTGTACATTTTCAATTTTACAGCATTGTTCAGCATTGCTGCCTGCAGGAAACCTCCACTTGGATTCCCAAGTCTTTCTCCTGTGCTCACTCACTGCCTTACTCCTCCTTGTTACCTCTATTTGGATGTGCAAAAATCAGCTGCTACTGAGAGAATCCTGTCTAAAGGGTTCCCACTCAAAATCCTGCATTCATTTCTGGCCCTGCATGAATAAATCCAAGAGGGAAATAGCAATTACAGAAATTACAGAACCTTGCAAAATCATATCTGAGGACATTTCATTATAAAATCAGGAATATTAACAGAAGCTGAGAAAACCAATGATGTTAGGAAACAAGCTTCAAACACTCAGACTAGAACAGCTCAGGCAATAAATTTAATTGTAATGAACCCTCTCTTTCTGAATCATTAAAAATAAAAATTAAAAAAAATACATAAATACATAAAAAGACAAAAAAAGAAAACCACAAAACCCCACTATACCAAAAAGACAAACCACATTTTTCTTTACTGTCAGAAGGCTTCTGAAAAAAAAAAAAAAACAAACCATTCTGCAAGTTCTGAGGTACAAAAGAAATATGGACTTGGGTTTCTGCACCAAACCATAGCAGGATTTATCCAATTGGCCATTCAGAATAGGAACAAACAAGCAAGTCCATATTTCGCAAGGTATTTTGCAGCTCATCCTCCTTTTCTTTTTATGGTAGAACACACAAAGACATTCTTGTTTAGGAAGAAAATTGCTTTGAATTATTTAAACTTTGAGGTCCATTTAAAAATGAATTTTATTGAAGTCAGATACTCCCAGGCATGAAGGTAAGACATAAATAAAACAGAACCTACTTTATCATAATGTACCACTTCATTTTGCAGCAGTATTTGCAGAAGAAACACATTGAAGTGCCCTTCCACATGACTTTAAACCTAATTCTGGACAACACCAGTCTGAGACATAATGAAAGCTGTTACCAATTCTGAGTTTGGTTTTCAGAGCGATTGACCATCAAAATCTGTGTTTAACTTCAGCAGAATTGTGTTCAGAAGCTCTGAAAACTGGGCCTGAAATGACATGTTTGGACCTGAGTCACATCCCCTTCGGTGCCACCCACCAATACTGCACTGATGGCTGTTCCCACAGGAAAATCCTGTTTGGAATCATTTTAAGGTAAAAGCCCAGCCCGGTGTCAGCCCCTGACAAGCTGCACACAGACCCCAGGAGGGGAAGGAAGGGCTGATTTGGCACTTTCTAATTGACCTCGCTGGAACTGGGCCCGGAGCCCCCAAAGCATCCCTGAGCAGCATTTCTGGAGCACCATCGGTGCCCAGTGTGCACCGTGGATGTTTGTGGGGAACCCCAGGGCTGTGTGGAACCCCAGGGCTGTGGGGACAGGGCTGGCAGTGCAGGTTTGGGGCCAGCAGGCAGTTGGGCCTCCCCAACGGGCCCAGACGTGGCGTTTGACCCCAGCAACGGCCAGAACGGCTGATGGGGACCCAGCAGGTGAGTGGGAAAGGTGCTGCTCTCCCCATGCCAGGCCCAGAGGGGGTACAGGCGGGTCTGGGCTGTCCCGTAGGGAATGGTTCCCTTTGGGAACAACAGTCTGCTGTCCCAGAGCTTTGGTGCTGGCCATGGGACAGGCCTGGGAGGGATGGAGGACACCCACCCCTCCTCCTCTGTCACCATCACACTGGAGGCACTGGGCACTGATGAGAGAGCAGCTTTTCATGGCATTCCCTTCACCCCAGTTTACAGCCCAGCCTCAGCAACTGCCAGAGACCTCAATGGGTTTCTCCCAGTCATCTCCCAGATGATTCTTGGTAGCCCAGACAAGGCCAGAAGATGCTCTTCTGATGCACTTCTGCTATGGGGAAAGCTGAGAGAGTTGGGACTGCTCTGCCTGGAGAAGGCTCCAGGGAGACCTTAGAGCCCCTTCCAGTATCTAAAGAGGCACAGGGAGAGCTGGACAAGGACTTTGGACAAGGACTTGCAGGGACAGGACGAGGGGGAATGGCTTCAAACTGACAGAGGGCAGGCATAGATTGGATATGGGGAAGAAATTGTTCCCTGTGAGGGTGGTGATGCCCTGGCACAGGTTGCCCAGAGCAGCTGTGGCTGCCCCATCCCTGGAACTGTTCAAGGCCAGGCTGAATGGGGCCCTGAACAACTTCCTTTCTGGTGTTCCATACTAGCAAGACACCTTCCAACAGGTTCTGTTTGTTCTGTTTTTAAACTCCTGGACTGAAAGTGTTCTCAAGGAGTGAAGGAAGAGCTGAGCTGGAATTCCTGAGGTGGGGCAGGGGGAAAGTGTTTAGGACCGACTGCCTCAGGGACAGCCATGCAATCTGAGTGTATTCATACTTGTGCTCTTCCAGGGGTCTCAGGGGCTTGGACTGAGCCAGTGGTTCCCTTCCCACATGTTTCCTCAAGAGGGATCTTCCTCAAGAGCCCCTGAGGTGAGTACAACTGTGCCGAACGGCTTAGGACCGTTTTCAAATGGGGTTTAGGGAAGAGAACTGCAGGAACCCTGGAAGGCTGAAGTTGCTCTGCCATGGATCTCCTGTCTGTCCCTGGGTGGGATTCATTTCTGTGGGATTCATTTCTGTGTCACCATTTTACCCCAAAGGAGACTTCTTTCCTCTGCTCAGTCAGCTTAACATCTCTGACAGGGAACGTGTAGAACTAAAACAGGAGCCTGATTTCAGATGGCTCTGTACAACTTTATTGTAATCACACTAATAAAGGTACCAAGCACAAGCAATGTGCTTAGTGTAGAAATAGATTTAATACATATAAGTGGATTTTGCAGTTGGTTCTCCATGAATGAACACCATTCTTGTTCGGACCAGAAGAGGTATTTCAGGTGGTGCTTTGGAATAGGACAGGATACCTGTCCTCCTCATACCGAGATGAAGTAAAGAAGGAGCATTAGATCTCCATTTCATGACTGTGAAAAGACTTTTTTGCAGTTACTTGGATTTTATTTCGTTCTATTTCCTTTTTTTTTCATTTAATTTAATTTAACATGTTCCAAATCTATTTATCCCAATACATTTAGTAAAGTTAAAAGAATGGAAGGCAACTAATTTTATCATATTGCCCCTTTATGTCATCTTGTCTGGTGCTAAAATCCACGGATTTTAAATGCAAAGCATTTTCAGAAATCACTTTTTGAAACAAACCAGACCTCTCCCGGGACATTTTGCAAAGGCAAGCAGTGACAAGGACAAGGGGGAGTGGCTTTAAGCTGAAAGAGATTTAGATTGGATATTGGGAAGAAATTCCTCCTTGTGAGGGTGGTGAGGCCCTGGCACAGGTTGCTCAGAGAAGCTGTGGCTGCCCCATCCCTGGAAGTGTTCAAGGACAGTTAGATGAGGCTTGGAGCAACCTGTGCTGGTGGAAGGTGTCCTGCCCATGGCAGGGGGTTGAAACGAGGTGATCTTTGAGGTCCCTTCCAACCCAAACCATTCTTTGATTCTATAAAATCACTCGAAATCCCACAGTTGTCTCCTCACCTCCCGCTCCTTCTCTTGCAGGCGTGGCAAGAGGCAGAGGAACACAAAGAACAACACAGGACTGGCACAGACAGAGGAAACTGTAAAACGAAAGGAGAAAGCCACGAAAACCTGACTGGGACAGAAGCGGAGCCACAATCAGAGCCCGGGGCGGGGATATTCCCGAGCCCTCCGCCGCACATCCCTCCGTGCAAACTCAGGGAAATAGAAGCTGAGTTGATCTGCGCCGATGAGGCAGGCAGCGAGTTTGAGTTCGGCGAGCTGGCGTCGCCCGGAGCGAGCCCAGCAGCACATCAGGCTCCTGCCGGATCCGCCGGGGACAGCCCCTGGCACGGCGTGGACGCGCGGCTCCGGCTGCCCCTGCGGGAGGGCAGCGCTCGGTACCGGCAGCAGCAGTTCGCGGCGGCGGCCGCCAAGTTCTCCACGGCCCTGGAGGTACCGGGATGCGGAGGGTTGGTTGGAAATCCCGGGATGCAATATTCCATGTGAAATCCGAAAATTAAGAGCTATAAAAAAAAAAAAAAAACCAACAAAAAGTGGCGGCCTGAAAAATAAAATCTAGACACAGTTTGGGGAAACTGGAATAATTTATTGAACACGAGAACACAATTTAAAGGCATCTGGGGCTGGACATGTTAATGAAGGGGACAACCTGTGTTAATTGGGGAGTTGCACAAATTTTTGCTGCAGTTTCCAAATAGTTAATTTTTCTCCTAGTAGGATTAATAGAGGGATTACAGAGGTTTAGACATGATTTTAACAATCATCTCAAAAAGTCCTTTCTTAATTCTTCTTGGAGCCAGGTTTATATCTCCGGGTTGCACATTAGCAGGTCTCAGGACAGGGGTCCAAACTTCTTGAATCACGAGGTGTTTGCCAGCCTTGTTTTCCTTTTGCTGAAAGCTGGGTTTGGGCTCCCACAACAAAAGAAGGAAGGTGGGGGCTCAACTTAAACCAAAGAATCTCGGGTGATTTTGTATTTTTCTCCAAGTCCTTAACTGTGTTTATGTGTGGAAGAAATTGAAGTCCCATAAAGGGAAAAAACTTCTCCCCTCTTTAATCCCAGCTCTATCAGCAACAAATGACCTCTCAATAATCAGAGAAGTTCCCACTCTTCCCCAGCTGTCCCTGCACTACCTGGGTCAAATGTTTAATATTTTGCTTGAACAACAGGTCCCTTTGAGTCCCTTTTTTCCCTTTATGGCATTTCCATCGTGTCCTCTGTTTCTTTTTTCCCTCTAAAGACAGAAGATGCCACCAGAGCTGGGCAGGAATCCTTTTCTTTCTGCATGAGACAGGACAGGTCCCAGAGGGATCAACCCCTCAGAACTTTGGGGGTGTTCTCTTCAGCAGCTCAGAGTCCAAACACTGAGTTCTGTGGGAGCACTTCCTGAGGTACTAAAGAAGCCCAGTGTACTCACATCTGAGCTGTCTGAAGTGGACATGTTCTTCCATCAGTAGTTATTTCTACACTTTCCAGTTTCAGGATGAACCCCCCCAAAATCTACAGACCTTGGACATTTTTAAAAATCTCAGCCAGCCCTGAGTTTTATCAGTGTAAGATGAGTAAAAGAGGGATGTCCTCTGGCAAAGGTTGCAATGAATTTTACAGCGGAGAGAGGAGAGGAAGGAGGTGTTTGAGAGCCCAGCAGGTGGGTCACCCTTCCTTCCACCAGTGTCTCCCAGAGAACAGCTCTCTCACAACTAACCTGGCTGCTGGCAGTGACCATGCAGACAAGGGCTTCACTTTTTCCATGAGACAGGATGCTAAAAGCACTCCTGGGAGCTCTCAAATCAAAGGAAAAAGGAAAAACTAGAGCCATTTTCTGCTTTACAGGAACACAGTTGGTGATGAGAATAGAGGACTTGCAAGCTGGACTCTTCACTGTCACTAAAAATTCCTCTCCACTCTGAGCCCAGTCCCTTCAGCTGGGTACCTGACATCCTGAAAAAGGAGCCAACTACACTTGTTTTAGTGCTGTTCTGCCAAACCTTATTCAAAAGCATTGGTAAAAGCACAGAGCTTTCCAGTTCACCAGCAAATATCCTATTCCTTCTTCTTTTTTCTACAATACTGAGGCCATTTTTTTTAAGCAAGAAATATTAGAGCAGTCAATGAGTAAAATTAGCAAGTGTCATCCTTTTCAGGTGCCTTTTTGCTCCCTATATTCAGAAATGAGCTGTGGAGGGGACAGAACCACTGGCTGCTCAAGAAGAAAAGAGGACTTGCCTCATCCTAAGAGGAAATGGAAAGGCTGGCAAATAGACATACTGGGGAAAGAGTGACTAGAGATTAAGGGATTCTTTCCTGGGATTGTGGACAGGGTGATTGGGACATCCCAGAATTGTAGGGCTGGGGCTTCTCAGCAGTCTCTTAATCCACCTCTCCTCAGAAGCAAAATCAGAACATCCCTGAAAGACAATTCTGTGCTCTGCACTGATTTTTGTAATTTAGTTAAAGCCAGAGTCTATTGTACTTCAGTTTTCTCCATTGATCAGTGACAAAAAGCATTTCCACCTAACAAATGATGTATTATAACATTTGTAAATAATGGTTTTATTTCACATGCAGCTTTGCAGTAGAGGCTTTGCCACAGAGGATCCCTTGAAGTCCTCTCCAGATGATATTTCCAGAGTTGCCAGTTTTATTGAGGCAAAACTCGTCATCTGTTACTTAAAACTGGGGCAGCCTGACATTGCTCTGAGTCATTCACACAGGTAAGAAAAAGTACTGATTAGATTCACTACTAGGACTGAAATCCAAAATTGAACAAAGACTGGGAATAAGTGCTGTGCAGGAAGAACCAGTCTAATAATGAGAAACGAGGAATCAATAAAATACAGCTGACACGTTGCACTGATGTTTAGATTGGACTAATTCTCCAAACTGGAGATTTCAGCTGTAACAGCCCTGGACACATCCAGTGCTTTGGTCACACGGAAGGAAAGGAGCCTGTGTGTGCAGCCTGCCCAGGCCCAGACACAGGGAGGGGCTGCATCCTTCACACTGGTTCCAAGCACCAGCTCTGGGCTGAGAGCCTGAGTGCCCAGGAGTGGCCAGAGAACAACAAGGGCACTCCCAGGGCACAGCTGGCAGGGACACAACCTGCATTTCTGCCAGCTGGAGTATTCTGTCAGGGGAACCAGAGGAGTGGAAGCAGTGAGCCCTCCCATCAGGAGCTGCCCTCTCTGCCACTCTCACTGCTGAGCTGCTGCCAGTTTGATCATATTGCCTGAAAGCCTGAAATCTGTTACACCTGGAACTTCACCTGTTGAACTAAGGGTCTAACACACGTGCCAAGGTTCACCCACATAGAACCTGTCCCTTGCACAGGAAGTATTTCAAAATCTCTCAAGTTAACATTATGATATACTCCAGATGCACACGGGGAGATGGGTCACACACCTGCCACTCCTGTCTGGGGAGCTGAGGGTTAAAAGAACTTGTGCTGTAGCAGTTTTGCTCGTGTTAGCTACATACTAAAGGCAAGAGAGAATGTTACCCCTGGAACTTTTTTCCTAGGCTACACAAAACTCTAATGAAATCTCATTCATGATAAAATCACAATGAAAATGTTAGTAATGCTTGTTCACAGACCACAACTGGAGAGAGAAGGAGAGGGAGGCAGAAAGTTCACTGACATTTGAGACACAGCATGGAGCTGTAGAGAATAAGTTCATATGGTCTGTGCCTTAGTCACAGTTTGATTCCCTTGAGCTTCAGTGAATAACAACCTCACCTTGTCCATCCCTCTTCTCTCCCACAGGAGCATCATTCAGAACCCCTCTCATTTCCGCAATCACCTCCTCCAGGCCGCTTGCTTTCGGTGCCTGCAGAGATACTCAGAGGCTGCCAGGTACTGCCCTGCCCAGGCTGCTGCAGGGCTCTCTCGTGCCAGCTCTCAGGAGCCAGGACATCCTCTCACAGCCAGGCTTTCACCAAACCACAGGGAGCTTTGCTCAGGCTTTGTGTGTGTGACCTCAGAGCTCCAGCCCTCCCAGTTGGTGTAACATGAATAACCCCAGCTATGGTCCTAAATGACACGATGGATTGTTTGCTGGCAGAGAGTTAACCAAGCTAAAAATGTGTTTCCTGATGCTCATCTGAAAGTTGGACAAGGACTGAGAGTTCTGTGCAACTTTTTGGTACAAACGTGTACTTTATGGTACACATTACACTCTTTTGATATGACTTCCTTTCAGTCTGGCCACAGACCCCCTTCTCTGCCTGCAAGCTCATTTCTGCTGCTTTTGTTCCCAGGAGTGCCATGATTGCTGACTGTCTGTACGTCCTGGCAGGAGGCACAGACCTGGAGACGAGTGACCTCATCCAGCTCTACTGGCAGGTAAAAACTGAAAGCCAAAGGAGGAATGGGGTGCCTGTCTCAGCAGTGGGATGAACAGGGAGGATTCCTGCTGAAAAGACTGCCTGCAAAGGGAGCTCTTGGGCACATCAGTCAGCAGGACACTGCAGAATCCTTCTGTGTGGCTTGTTGAAGGCCTGGGCTCAGTGGGGAGAGGAACTGAGGCGACTTTATTCGAAGGGTGCAATGTTTTATAACCTACACAAACATGGAAGGATTCCTTATGAGGCAGAAGCTGGAACTGCAGCATCTGCTTGGCTGCTGCCCCAGGGGGACAGGGCAGCCTTTCAGGGTTGCAGCTCATTCCTGTGATGAGTTTCTCTGTACTCTGCTCGGCCCAAAACCTGCTGCTGAGGTCTGGTTCTTTCCAGGCCTTCAGCCTGCACATTCCCCACACTTCTGGGCTTACAATGGAGTAGATTTGTTTGGACTAATTTTAAGGGATAAATTCAAGGTTGCTAACCCTTGGATCACACTTCAATTTTATAAAATTTAATTTTGGATATTCTTGCCTAAGCTATTTTTTCTAAAGTCTTCCTGAGGTGACCTTCAGAGAGCATGGAATCACTTTTTCTTTTCATCTAAAAGACAGTTGATCTAGCAATTGTCCCCTCATTGAAGACAGAGGTTTGTGGAGTCTCTGTCCAACCCACCTGATTGTTTTGCTTGGGTTTTTTTAACCAGCCATTACCCAACAAGAAATGTATCATTTCTTTGCCTTTTTAGGCTCTGATTCAAGAAGCCCTCAGTGGAGAAGTATCTTTTTCTGTTCTGTACACACCTTTTGACAAAGAGGACGAGGCTGACAAAATAAAGGAGGCCAACAAAAGCTTTGCTGAAAAGCACCCTGATTATGTGCAGCACATATTCACAGGTAACAGCAGCTTTCACTGGGGACTGTGTGTGGGGCTGAGTCCAGAAGAGTTTGAGAGAGTTTGAGAGTTTGTGCTGCTTGTGTTCCACTGCTGCAGGGAATTGGACAGAGTATGGTTTATCCCAGGCATCAGCAAAATTGAAGCTGTTGATGCAAAAGGCTGTGAAGTCCTAAATTTCAAAGCCCAGTGAGAGCTGGATGGGTTGGTTTGATCACCTGGTTCTGGCAAGCTTTCTTGAGAGCATTTCTCCTTCTTAGGCTTCCTTATTTTTCTCAAAAAAAGTAACTTCTCTTACAACTGAAAAGAAACGTGACAGTGGAAGTGATTTTCCTTTTCTATCACAGATCCTCATGGAATTCACCTGTTGCCAGAGAGAGCTGAGGCTCTGCCTGACCAAGAGTACTTGCTGACTTTGGGCTTCAGAGACAAAGAGATTGGAAAAACTGTGGAAAAATCTGTGATTCGAAAGCTGCCAATCTGCCCAGGTGTGCCAACTTGCTGAGTAACTGAGCTGGCTCAGGGGTGATGCCCGTGATCCTTGCTAAATGAGGGGTGTGGGGGTTGTCCCGGGACCCATTTCTCTGTGCCAGCAGCCCCTGACTGCTCAGAGAGCTCTCCCCATCCCCTTCATCCCTCCCCCAGTTTACCCAACACCCTGCCAGATCCTCTATGAAAAAGGGAGATGGATAAACAAAGCCTCTGTGGTTTCACTTCCTAGACCAGAAAACAGCTTTCAGTCCCAGCACAGAGGAAGAAAGAGAAACATTTTGGGAAAACACTGGGAAAAAGGTCATGGCAGTCATAGATTTTATAGGAAGCACCAAAATAAAGGTGAGTATTCTGCTGTCTTTCGGGTGTGTGGTGGCACAAACCTCTGTGTGTGGGGGAGGGATGTGCTTTTTGGGGTGTATTTCCTGCTGCACGTGCTCTGCCAGCATCCAGAAGGACTCAGTGAACTGCTTTAGGAACAGAGTTCCAGTGGGTTGAGGCACTTTACAGTTTATTCCATGCAATTTTCTCCAGTCTTTATGGCCTATAATATGATATCCCTACTTCATGTAACCACCAAGACAATTGCTCACTATATTTAACACCCAGAGCAGGGTATACCAGCACATACCAGCAGGATTCCATCCAGAGTGAATCACTGCTGCTTGAAGCATTTCTAGGGATCGAGATTGTGATCCCTACGGAGTGAAGAATGTGAAACAGCCTTCCCAATCTGTTACAAACATAAGCAAAGTGATCATAACAACCTCTGCTCCACCCTTTCTGCCATAATGGACACAGCTTTTCAGCACTGTGGCTGACAGTGAGCACAGAGGTCAAAAATCAATGTTGTGCATGGACGAGACTTTTTTCATGCAATTCTTAAATGCTTCTCCTGATAAAAGAAACGTGAGTTGCAATTTTCTGACCCCACAATTCTGCCTTTGCTTTTGGAGGTGAGATCCCTCTAACGCAGCTCTTCAGTCTCTAAAGAGTAACAGAAAGAGAAAAAAATTTGAAATCAGGCATCTTTTGGATTCCTCATGACTCCCCCATTTTGTCAATTAATTTGTAGGAACGGGACCCCACAGTTCAAGCAGAGATATGTGGGATCTGGTTTCCAGGGCACAGGGACAAGAAACCCATCCTGCTTCCTTCAAAGTATTCCACAATTGTCTTCAAGCTAGAAACATGATTTCATCTTATTTGCATCACACAGAAGCTAAATTAAAAACTTCTGCCAGGCAAACTTCAGCTACGGAGTTGAGCCTTACAACTTATTGTAAGAGAATAGAATAATGTATTTAGGGTTTAATAGAACAAACATTTCTTCCTGCCCTCTTCCTCATTTGCAGATGCAAATGTACAATCCAACTTCTCGTTCTGATCAGACTGGTTTTGACAAAACCATCTCAGTGCCAAAGCCAAGCTCATTAAGCCACGGCAACACCTAAGAGAAATAAATTCTGCCCCCTTGGTTTTGCAGCCACACAACCTGGAGTTCATGACATGATTTTTACACACAGTGCAGTGGGAAAGATGTGAAAGTAAGGGTTTAACATGCTTAAAATGTACCATGTTCCTGGCTGCGTGGAGGTCAGAGAATTCCTCTGCAGGTTTTAGTCCCTCCAGGGTCTGTATTTGAAAACCAGGGATTTGCCTGTCTGCACCCAAACAATGAGCTGACACCCTGCATGCCCCCCTCAGCCTGCTCCCCAAGACTGGAAAAGCCATCCAGGAATTCAGGTGATGTTTAATGTAGGGGATCATGGAAAAAGCCTCTTAGAAAGGAGAAAACCGCATTCATGTTTGTTCCATTTGCTGCGATCACATCTGTGTTTTTCTGGTGCTACCAGAGAGGTTGTGGCAAGAAAGTCTTGCCAGCACAGACATGATGAGAAGCCTTGAGGGATCAGGGTGTTCCCTGAGCTTCTCCTCTAACCTCTTGGCTTCTCCTGGGCAAACAGGACAAGCGCAGCCCGTGCGCCCGCGCCATGGAGCACTTCCAGCGCGCCAGCCTGCTGGGCAGCCTGCAGAGAGGGGAGCAACAGGCCCAGGGCATGGCCCAGGTCATGGCTGAGCTGGCCACCATCCCCTACCTGCAGAGAGTCTCTCAGGAGGATGACAAGCTGGTAGGTTTTGATTTCTGACACTCCCTTTGCGGGCTGGGAGCCAGGGAGGGAAGGGCCAGAGAAGAGTTCTGTGCTGCCACGTTCTCTCTCTCTGCAAGTCATTTGTCCGATGTGAGGACCTGAGGGAATTTTTAAATCCTCCTTCAGTGCTTTGTGCCAATCACCTGCAAGGGTAACTTTGATAGAACCACCAGGAGTCACTTGTCAGCATCTGTTTAAAACCCCTTCTTCCCCCCCCAGAGAAGATTCAAACTAATTTTTTTCTTCCTCTTTGGCTCAATTAAAAGCCATCTTCGAACACTCCCAATATATTGTGTGAGTGCAGGGCTTGAGGTGTGTGGGATTGAGCAGACACAGAGAAAGAACTAACATTCAGAACCATATTTGCTTCCCTGCCTCAATTAATGAACCCCACAGTTTGACACACTGACCTCAAATTCCCCCAGAAGAAGTAGCAGTGTGTATTCCCTCTGACACCCTGGCCACCCCAGAGCAAATAAAGATGCTGAGGAGCAAAAAGGAGCTTCAGCATGCTCTGGGTTCATTTGCTTTTTGGAGAAAATAATGTGTCCAATGTGAGGACCTGAGGGAATTTTTAAATCCTCCCTCAGTGCTTTGTCAGAGGAGGTGCCAATCACCTGCAAGGGTAACTTTGACAGAACCACCAGGAGTCACTTGTCAGCATCTGTTTAAAACCCCTTCTTCCCCCCCAGACCTCCCAGGATCAGTCTGGGAAAATGCAACCATTCAGATCATGCTCCCTTGACATTTCTGACCTCAAAAGGCACCTGCAGCAAAACAGCCCAAATCCAGTTATAACTAAGGAGGAGAGGGGTGGAAAAGAGGGAAAATTGATTTTCTGTGCTGGATCCATCCACAACATCCTCCCTGTCTCGGAGTAAACCCCCCTGCCTGCTCGTGGTGTCCTCGCAGACTCACTGCAGAGGTGCCATAAATTGGTGAAGAATCAGAGGCTGGTGAGAAACACGTGGAGTGGCCCTTTGGCTGAGCAAACCAGCAAGGGCCAGTGGTGGGATGATGGTTAGAGCAAAGAGGCCAAAAATTATGGTATTAAAAAGTGGGGTTGGGGAAAAAAAGAGTAGGGGGAAACATCTCCTTCTTGCTCGGTGTGGGATGATGGAGAGAGTTAAACCTAGAGGGGACTCAGGATTTTAAGGTGAAAAGCAGCTGCCACTCCCTGGATGGACTGAGGTCGACATGTTACTGAGCTCCCCAGTAAAACAATCAACATTGATCAGATGAGCAGAACAGAGGGTGGAACGAGGTGGAGACTCCATGGCCCCCCCTCCATTCCAGTCCCAGCAGAGTGGGAGGACACTGTGGCACTGGGATGGTCCAGCACCTCTCTGACAAGGGACAACCCAGATGTTCTGATGCTGAAGCCACAACCGTGTGGAACCTCCTCCTCAGGGGCCAAACCACGACCACCACCCTCCCATTAAATACACCAATGAGAAATAAAAGGTATTTATCACTAGAGCCACTCAAACTCCACCCTAACATAAAGAAAACAACGTAAAAGTTGGGAATAGGGGGGAAAGGGGGAGAAGGCCTCCACTGAAACTGCTGGGATCAGTCAACTGGCTGAGCCCATCTTCTCTCCCCCTTGGGTGAGAAATACACTCTGTGCATGTTAAATGCTGCTTTTACTGCTAGAATTTTTGCCTGTGCTCACCCCATAGCATATTGATTAGATTGCTTCATATTAGAGCTCGTGCTTGCTCAATATGTGCATCAGCAGACCGCTTTAAAACCTATTTTTGCAGTAGACACCATCACCAACAACCTCCCAACCTTCCTAATCTGTCACCATTTGCTTGAATAAAAAGTGTTGTTCTGCAAACTGTTCAAGGGGGTCCTTGCAGTCCTTGGCAGGACCCGCTGAGGGGTCCTGGCTCTGTTGAGTTCCCCCTGAGAAGGGTGGTGAAGGTACCTCTGAAATTGTGAATCTGTTGGCGAAGGGTCTCCTTGTGAGACACTGACAGAGTTTTGGCCACCAAGGTCTCAAAATTCTAAACTCCCACTTTTCACGTGACACTTGGGCTCAGTGGGCAGCCAGTGCCTCTCCTCCTCCCCTGAGGGGATGTCTCTGGGTGAGCTTTGTGCCTCCAATCTCATTGAAGTAGACCCGGAATATTTGTATATACAGACACGGAGCAAATAGATCTTAATTACTTGTAACAAACTGGGGAAGAGGCTCCAAAAAGTATCGTTTGGGTTCACTTCAACCAACTAAACGTTTTGGAAGAGACCTACGAGTGTGCAACAATACCACAGGCATCGAATACCAGTTTCCCCCAGTTTGTTCCTAAACGATGATGCCAAGGGCTGCTCCAGGCAGGGCACCCTGGATCCAACCCTTGTCTCTGTGTCACTGAATTAAGAGTAACTGGAGCATTTCCCAGGGTTTGGGAAGTGTGCAGGGTGAGACAATGCCAGGACTAACCTGGAAGGGGGCTGGGGGAGGCCATACCACAGTATTTTAGATCTGTGGCTGAAGCAGAGTTGCCCACGCTCACTGTGAAAGATGAGTCACGAAATCATCAGAGCGCAAATTATTTTTAATTAGGTTTTAATCTGTATGTTCAGATAAGTTATTTCTCGGTGAATCCCACACTGATGGTTTGTGTCTCGGTGCCACAGCTGCAGTCCCTGACAGCAGATGCCATGGACGTCCTGGCAGGAAGGACCAGAGATCGGGTGTGGACTAAAATCCAGAAGGTAAAAACCTGCAGCAAAGGGCAGGAGAGCAGATTGGTCCTTGGGAGGGAAATGTCCCACTGAGTCCTGTCTGTTCAAAAGGCAGGGGGAAAAAAGGAGGTGTCACAGGAAACCTGAGCACACGCCTTGAACTCTGTCCATGCTCAGGCACCAACCACAGGGACATATCTGGGATTTGTCTGTGAGTAGGGAAGGGTCTGATGCCATCACTGCTCTGCAAATCCCATCACAGCTCATCAGCTGCCTCAGGAACGGTGCAATGGTGTCAGCAATTGTTATTTCCACTCCCAATATGTCATAAGTGCTTATTTTGGAGGCTGGAGCTGACAGATGTTCTATAAATATGAAAAGCACAAACAGCAGCCGAACCACAGTTCCAGGTGGGGAACATCCTTACCCTGGGGGTTCCTGGTGACACCCCGAGCAGTGCAGACACTGCTGGATGTTCCTAAAAGAGCTGCTGTAAATCCTGCTGCTGTCCTGGTGCCCCCTTTGTCGCCACCCCACACCCCACCCATCATCTGGGACCCGTTTTCCTCACTCCTACAACCCTCTGTACTCACCCAAAGCCAAGCACTGCCTCCCCAAAATATAACAGGGACTTTTAACCACAGAGGAAAGTCATGCAGACATTTTAATTTGGTCTGTTGCAGAAGAGTCCTGGAGGCTCTGGTTAATCTGGCCAAGCCCTGGACTGGACCCCTATGGCAGCAGCCTTTCCAAGACAAACACAGTGGAATCTGTCTTTTTGGGACTTCCCACGTGCTTTTGTCCAGTCCATAATTTCCTAAGCTTTTATTTCAGCTTCTTAGAAGTGAGGCTGGCCCCAGGATTCCTCTAATCCTCTCTGTGTGGAAAGTACACATCCCTGCAGAGCCAACCCATGAGGCTCCTTGGAGAGCCCCAACCTCCCCCTGCTCCTGTGGCAACGGATTTCTTGGCAGCAAAGGAGCAAAAGCCCAGGCACAAGTGCCCATCAAGCTTCACCCCCACAGCAGAAAACTCTTTTCCATGGCATTATGCACAGTGCTGTGGACAGTCATTCCTGGGAATGCCAGCTCTGTGGGCACAGTGAGGAGGCAGAGCTCCTCTCCCAGACTCCTCGTGCCCTTGGCACCCCGGGGCAGCAGATGGAATTGTCCATAAACTTTCCTGCTTCCTTCTCTCACAAACACAAACCCCTCCCCAACACCGTCTGTGACCAGAGTCACAGCACAGCTCCAAGGTCAGGGCTGAAAAGCACTTTAGAGCAGCTCAGTACATGGATAAATACAACAGGAAGCCAAAATCACTTTAGAGCAGCTCAATACATGGATAAATACAACAGGAAGCCACGCTTGGAATAATTCCCAGTCAGTTCTTCTGTGTTGGGAAGGAAGAAGCTCCACTCAATGCCTGTCAGCAGGACTTTTTTCTTAATTATTATTTCCCCTTAAAATGCAATTGGGAGATTGATTCTTTCGCTCCTCCCACTGTCCAGGTTTGGATCTGGAGTGTAACTCCCTGTGAAGGAAGGTGATTCCCACCTTCCCCCTTCAGAAACACTGTGCACAGCTGGCAAAGGCCTGGAATAAAGGTCAGGTGTGGGGAGAGAGCCAGGAAATGATGAGCCTGGGACTGACAGAACACCTGGAAATGCTGCTGGGAGTCAATATCTGTGGGGGTTTGAAATCCCCTGGCAACACAAACGTGCTCTTAATCAGAATAATTCCATCTTACTCTGGGGAAAGACTGAGGTCATGTGCTTTTTTACTCTGCTCTCCAGTGGATTATATTCTTGGGAAAACATATTGATTTGGAGCTTCATTTGGATTTACTAGGAAAAAAAAATCTTGCCCTGGCAATATGGAACACTCTTTTTACTCCATGTGTTGATTTTTGGCACGTAAATGGCAGAAGCTTCAGTTCTCTTTTCTCATCAAGAAAAACTGGCCAGGCAATAATTTCCCCCTCATCTCATCCTCGTCAAGTGGCTGTTTTTCAGCACCACTTGCAGACAGAGTTGTGAGAAATTCCTTAGTGCCATGATATAGTAATTGGAGTTGGATCAGGGGTTGGACTTGATGATCTTGGAGGTCTTTTCCAACCCAACCTATTCTATGATTCTATGATTCTATGATTCCTGTCTCGGTGTGCAGATGTCAAGGGAAGTGTCTAATCCACATTGAGTTCAAACAGAAATAGAGAAATAAAAATAATTACAAAGTCAGGCACCACTCCCACAGCAAATGGCACGAGAGCTGCTTTCTTTCGTGTGTTTTTGTTTCTAATGATGATTAGATTTGAAATAAAATAATTGAAAAGCTTTTAAAATTTTAACAGGGGGGAATGGGCTTCTGTATAATTACAGGTGGCAAGAATAGAAGAGGATTTGAGGGAAGGAGAAGAGGATTTCTTAAGGGACCGGAGGGTGCAAACGCCTGGAATGGAAAACATGAACTGGACCCCAATGGGACAGGAATATTTGGGACAGGAATATTTGAGACTGGAAAATACAAATATGTTCATTCCTGACCCACGCAGCTTGGCCACAGAGTCGAAAAAAAGATGTACAGATTTTGGAAATAGTTGATTTTGTACATATTTTGATATCTGTTCAATAGATAATCTTATTTTAAATTATATTAACTTCGCTGTATTCATTTATATTTAAATTAAATGATATTTAATGGTATAAACTCTGGTTGTATCACTTTAAATTTAAATGGCATTAAATAGTATTTGCTTGCATTTAAGTTATGTTACTTTAAATCTAAATTGCATTAAATTGTATTTGTACTCATTTTAAGTTGCATTCATTTATATTTAAATTGTATTAAATTGGATTTAATGTATACATTCTAGTTGTATTAGTTTAAATTTAAATGGCAATAAATAGTATTTACTTGCATTAACTTTAAGTTGTATGAATTGAAATCTAAATTACATTAAATTGTATTGATTTGTATTAACTTGAAGTTGTATGAATTTAAATTTAAATTCCATTAAATTGTATTTATTTGTACTAACTTTTTGTTCATTTAAATTTAAATGGCATTAAATAGTATTTACTTGCAATAACTTAAAGTTGTATTAATTTAAATTTTAAATTAATTGTATTAAATTCCATTAAATTCTATTTATTTGTATTAATTTTAATTTGTATTAATTTTTATTTAGATTGTATTAAATCGTATTTAATTGTATAAATTCTAGTTGCATTAGTTTACATTTAAATGGTATTAAATAATATTTACTTGCATTAAGTTGTGTGAATTTGAATTTAAATTTAAATTGCATTTAATTTTAAGTTGTATAATAATATATAATAATATATATTGTTGTATAATAATATTTACTTGCATTAAGCTGTATTTGTTTAAATTTCAATTGCATTAAATTGTACGCACTGATATTAAATGTGAGTTATATCAACTGAAATTTGAATTTTATTCAGTTTTGTTACATTTACATTTACATTTTATTAAACTGTCCCTTCTAACCCGGCTGATTCCATGATTTCCCCCCGCTTATCCCCATTTTCCCCCTGTTTCTCCTCCTCCCTCCCCTTCCCCCCC